GGACTTATGGACACAGTGGTGTTGTTGTTTAATATTTGACTCAAGTGTGCCCCTACATAAATTAAACTGTTATATCTCAGTGATATATCATCCGATCTGGACCAGATTTTTGATGCTTGACTAGTGAGGACTTATGGACACAGTGGTGTTGTTGTTTAATATTTCACTCAAATGCGCCCCCTACATTATTACAATAGTTATATATGCTGTCGCAGCTTATGTGAAAGGTTCGGCGAATGCGCATTCCGGGGAATAGGCGCGTGACGGTAGCGTGAGCGTTCTCGATGGCGACCGGGAAGAGTCGCTGCAGTTCCCGCAGTCGCCATGAGGCCGCAGCGGCGCTTCGCTGCGAGGGCCTTCAACGCTGCTTGCAGCTTTAATTGTTTTTGGTATTTTTATTCCATGTGCTATAAATATATCTTGCTACTTTTTATTTGATGATGTGATATTTTTGTCAAGCACTTTGGCAACAGTTTCTGTTTTAAATGTGCTCTATGAATAAATCTGACTTAACTTGACAGGCTGTTAAGCGTTCATGTGATGTATGACACTCACTTTGTAAACGCACGCCTTGTTGGACTAACGCCGCTTTTTCCAATATGCACTCGTCCAGAGATTTTGATATTAGCTGCAACCGTTGGTGCAGAGCATCATAGTCTGAACACAGTGCTTGGTACCTCATCCCTCCATCACGTAGTTTTTCCTCATATGAGTCTGCTTGTAACAACAGCTGAGCTTGTGAGAACTCTTTTTCACATTCCAATTCATTCTCCCAGGTCTTCTTATCAAATTGAAACTGTGCTTTGAGCTGTAGACACTCATCAATTGTTTTTTCTTGGGACTCTGGCTCGCGTGTCAACTTTATTTCAAGGGCTTCTGCCCTGTTGGCCTCAAGGTAAAATTCAGCTTTTAGCAATAGTGCTATTTTAGCTAGCTGTTCATAGCCTGACTTTTTTATGGCTGCAGAAGTTACACTGCCTGCAACTTCCTTCAGCTCGTTCAATAACTCTGTTGATTTCATGCAGTCCATCTGGTCACCATATGGATATAAGGAATCTGTGAGCAGCTTTAGAGCTGTCTCAAGCCAGTCCTTTTTATCACATGGGGCAACATTAGCATTCTCAGCTTCTGTTAAATCTGCCATGGTTGTATTTACTGTTCAGTAAAACCTATCTGGTTAAACCGCCGCAATCTGTCAGTCAGACCTCCATTGCACGACTACAACTGGTCCAGAATGCAGCAGCCCGATTTTTAACCTGTACAGGCAAAAGAGAGCACATAACACCAGTTTTGGCCTCACTGCACTGGTTATCGGTTCACTTTCGAATCCAGTTCAAAATACTCATGTATGTCTACAAATCACTGAACAGTGTCGCCCCCCCATCTCTCTGATTTGCTACAACCGTATGTCCCACCTCGCTCCCTGAGGTCAGCGGACCAGTTGCTCCTCACAGTTCCAGGAACTCGTCTTAAGCGCAGAGGTGACAGGGCCTTCTCTGTAGCAGGACCAAGACTCTGGAACGAGTTACCTCTGTTTGTCAGACAGGCCCCCTCCCTCTCGGTTTTCAAGTCCCGTTTAAAAACTCACTACTATTCAGTAGCTTTCAACACCAGATGATCTGTGTTTTGATCCTGTACGCTCCACACTGGTTTGTCGTCATTATCTGCATTGTTTTTATGTCTATATTCTGATTTACCTCATTTTGTATTTTGCTTTGTGTGTTACCTGTTGTTTTGTCTGTACAGCACTTTGTTTGGCCTTGTAGCTGTTTTAATGCTTTATAAATAAAGTGGTATGGTATGGTAGTGTCTTGCCCAGGGACACTTCAACATGTGACTGCTGGTGGATTTGAACCACCAACTCTCGCAATGGAGGACGACTGCTCTAACCACTCAGCCACAGCTGCCCAAATGAATGAATGAATCTACTTGAACTTGAACTTAATTATTCTTTTTACAGAAATAGTAGAGTGCTGTATGCATGTGTAAATCAGGGCACAGATTGTAGTGTAAAGTGCTTTGAGTATCTTGATAAGACAGAAAAGCTCTATATAAGTGCAGTCCATTTACCATTCTTCAGATTTGCAGAGTCAATCACACAAGAATTTTGAATACTGGAGCATTCAATGTAAAGGTAGCAATAATATCTTTTCAAATAGCACTTTTCTAAGCAATACTGGCAAGAACCCACACTACACGTGTTTTACTCCTCCATGACCATAGCCCCCTACCCCCATCTTTAGAACAATTTTAACTGTGAATGTCTTTTTAAATTTCAGATTGTGCACCGCACTCTGGCTGCTATGGTAGGATCTTTAGCAGCTTTAGCAGCACTGGCTATCATCGGAGATGTAAGTTTTTTCTTTCTTTCTTTTATTCTGTCAAGCCATTAACAGAGTTAAACTGAAAACTACTTGTCAATAGGGCTGGGGGATATATCGAATATACTCGATGTATCACAAGATTTTCTATTAAACTCTATGGTTAAGATGGCTCTATCGCAACCATCGAGTTTAATAGACTTGAAAATGTTGTAGTTCTTTTTCTCCCATCTGCACCTCCAACTTCACACAGCCTCCTCCTTCTCCCTCTTTGAATACAAACACCTCACCCATGCATGCTACCGCCACCATCCAGGTGTGTGTGTGTGTGTGTGTGTGTGTGGTGGTGTTGGTGGTGGTGGTGGTGGTGGGGGGGGGCTAACACAAGTAAACATAGGAGAGCAGTTGAGCTGCTGTGCAAAAAGAAAAACAATGGCTGTTATTTGGAGATGGTTTGGATTTAAATTGTTAGATGAACAACAGAAAAATGTTTTCTGTAGACAATTCCGAAAAAAAATCCAGACAAAGGTCAGATCTACAAATCTTTTTCACCATTTAAAACAGCATTATAAGTTATAAGCTGCAGCTCCGACTGTGTTTTCAGCCTTTCCTGAGACAAACCATGGTTAACCATCTTGTTAGCTGCTAAGAACCACATCTTTAGTGATATGATAATATGATGTTTTATGTTATGAGTGCTTAGTGTATATTTAGTTGATGTTTTTCTTGGTTCATATCTTGGATGTTGTTACTGTTTTTCTTGTACATTTTATTGTTGGATGTAACTGGGACCCTGTGTACATAATTTCGCTCCACCACATGTACCACATGAGGTGCAAATGACAATAAAGAAACTCTGACTCTGACTCTGATGATAAGCTGCTGCTTTACTAATGTGGCGCTGCCTCTCACTGTAAGACTTGAAAATCTGTGTAGTTCTTTTTCTGCCTGTTCAACTTCACACAACCTCACGTGCTGCTTCACACACACTTACTAATGTTGTGAAGGTGGCACAGCTGAAGAGGATTATTATTTAATATATGTACAGTAAATGGTTTATTTTTTTAGACATTTAGTAGAGTTACAACTGCTTGTTAATAAATGTGCCTGTGTGACAATTGGGACAAAGCTTTGACTCAGAAAGATGTTTTTGTTATTACTTTATGGGAAGAAAAATATATTAATCCATTCAACCTTTATTTATACAGGTTAGTCTCATTGAGCCTCGGGACTCATTAACAAGGGAGACCAGTTTTTAACAAATAATGATAACAGTAGACAATTATAAAATAAAGCATATGAATTGAAAAAATTAATGGAAGAAAAGTATATATATAAAAACAGCTACATTATAAAGTGATGAAAAATACTAAAAACAGGAACATGTTTGCAATGGTTTGTGCCACGAACTTAGCAGATATTTGAATATCAAGATATTTATCGTATATTGCGATTTATCTTAAAAATATCAAGATATTAATTTTGGTTCATATTGTAGAGGAAAGGGTCCTCAGATCATCGTTAACAATGAGCTGCTGACTAAAAATAATTCAGACGAGAGTAAGAGTGATGGACAGATGAGAAGAAAGTATACTCCCTACGGTTCGGGTGAAGAGATCGCCATGCATTGCAAAGTCTGTAATCACTCATGTACTGTTTAACTGTATTTATGGACTGCCAACTGCGCTGAGTTCCTGCTCTATTACATCTGTCTAATTCTTCATTTAAACCAAAGTTGAGGTCACCTCCAAGTATAAGTGAGCAATCCAAGTGATCAGACAGTGCTGAGAAAAAATCATGAAAAAAAGAGGTGTCATCAACATTTGGGGCATATATGGTGACAATACACAGCTTGTAGTTATTTATACAAAGTTTTATTATTAAATATCCTTCTTCTGGGTCTGCAACTGTGTCTAGTACTGTAAAATTAACATTTTTATGTATTAATATTGCCACTCCCCTTTGTTCTTGAGTTATAGCAGGCACAAAACACATCAGGAAAGTCAGGTGATTTAAGATCATCTGCAGTTGTAATAGATTTATGAGTCTCTTGTAAAAAGACAACATCGGCCTGTAGTCTTTTAAGCTGGTTTAAAATTCCTAATCTTTTTTGTTGAGTACTGGTTCCATTCACATTCCAAGTCACAAACCTTAATGTGCCCATAGTTGTGCGTGAGTAGCTAAAGTTGACCGGTGCATGTCACCATAGAGACAAACAGATCCAACTAAAATCACAGTTATGGCTTGAGATTGCCTGTTTAGATGTTTAGAAACACACGGTGATGTTTGAAGTGGAAATATACAAGAATATAGAGTAGATGCTGGGTGTGAGAGAAGTTGACAGATATAAAGTTCTCTGGTGTGTGCGTGCATGCGTGTGTGTGTTTTGGTGTGCTTGTGTGTAAATGTTTGCTAATGGGTGGTAAAGAAGAAAAAAGACTGATGAAGTGATGTAGTAACAGATAAACGTAAAAGAGAAAATAGTAAAAAAAAAAGAAAAAAAGGAAAATCTTTACTGTTGATTGTTTTTGTTTGAGCCTTGTGTGGCTTGATCTGATTTTGGTGGACCCACTTGAAGACAGGTTCTTTCTGACCTCTGCTGATCCTGATTTGGTACACAATTGGGGACAGTTTGTCCGTTATCAGGTGTGGTCCAGTCCACCTTGGAAGAAGTTTGCGGGCAAGCGTTCCAGCTCTGGAAGCTTTTTGTCCAATAGATGGGGTGAAGATGTAGTACTAGACCTTTTCCCCCACTTGGAGTTCTTCATAGGAGGCTTTTTGGTCATAGTAGGCTTTGCGCCCTTCAGCTGTCTTGTTAAGATGTTTTTGAGCAAATGCAAAAGTGGTTTTCAGGTGTTGGTTTAGATCTTCCATGTACTGGTGAGTTGTGTAGGCTGTTGCCACACTGGCTCCACCAGGTTGGTAAAGTAGGTGCAAAGGAAGGGTCATCTGTCGACCAGTCATCATCTTGAAGGGAGAGATACCAGTGGACTGATGTGGGGTTGACCGAGTGGCCATTAGGACCAGGGGCAGCTTGATGTCCCAGTCTCTGTGGTTGGCGGACACGTACCTCTTAAGAATACTGACCACTGTTCTGTTGTATCACTCAACTTGGCCTGTTGCTTGGGGATGGTAGCCAATATGGAAATTGACTTTGACTCCCAACATTTGCCAAAGTTTCTGCATCACTTCAGCAGTGAATTGTGTACCTCTTTCGGAGTTGACTCGAGTGGGAAGTCCGAACCTTGTGAAGATCTGGTTCATCAGTAGATAAGCAGTGGTGTCTGTGGTGTCATTTGCTGCCAGTAGGCATTCAACCCATTTGGTGAACGCACAGGTCACCGTGAGGAAACATTTATTTCCTCTGGTCGATTTAGTAAGTGGTCCTACCCAATCGATCTGTAAATTAGACCACGGAAAGGTGATCCCTCTGCTTTGCAATGGTGCTTCGTGAAGGGGTGTTGCAGGTTGGAACTGACAACAGACCAAACATCCTTTGATGTAGTAATTTACATCTCTGCGCATCCCTGGCCAGTAAGCAATTTGCTTTAACGCATTGAGAGTTGCTTTGACGCCTTTGTGTCCAAAAGACGGAAGGTCATGAGCATGTATCAGCATCACCCCCCTGTGGTCTCGAGGCACAACAAAAGAAGGTGAAGATGTTGGATCGGGAGCAAAGACGAGCATGCCTTTGACCATTTTCAGGTGTGAGCGAACCTTAAAAAGAGTACGTAGTTCAGGGTCAGAGTCAAATTTGGTCAAGGAAGGAATGTTAGTGTCTGGATCAGCCAGGTACTGAATCATTTTCCCGATAGCTGGATCCAGAGACAGAAGTTCCATGAGGTCCTTGTCCGTAAATGCAGGTTCCACTGAAACTGTGTTGTTCACTGGTTGTAGAGCAGTAGAGGTGGAAGCTTCAGCACGAGAACGTGTGAGAGTACACACCTCTGGGGAGGGAGGGTCTGGGACATAAGCAGGCAGCCAAGAGGGGTCGAAAGACCACCGGGTACCATTTATGGCACCTCTTTTGGCCAACGAGTCTGCGAGATTGTTAAGCTCTTTGTCCTGTCTTGGCACATGTGAGTGGCCTCTGACCTTTTTCCAAAAGACTTGTAGGTTGTGAGATGTCACCAAGTGATCACATGTCATGAACAAGTCCTTGTGTTTAAATGGTAATAGGACTGTACTTATATAGCGCCTTTCTATCTTATTGAGATACTCAAAGCGCTTTACACTACAATCTGTGCCCTCATTTACCCATTCATACAGCAGAGAGCGGCTGTGGCTGAGTGGTTAGAGCAGTCGTCCTCCAATGCAAGAGTTGGGGGTTCGAACCCCACGCAGTCACATGCCAAAGTGTCCCTGGGCAAGACACTGTTTCACTGCTTTATTGTTGCACATGAGAAAGCCTTTACATTTCCACGCAGCAAGGTGACAAGAGAAACTCAGGAGTGCATAATTGGAGTCTGTGCAGATCACCAAAGAATAAACAGAGTGTTTTACTGCAATTTGCAATGCTATCAATATGCCTGCAATTTCAGCGTATTGTGAGCCTAGTTTAAAATGGAAGGTGTGCTGTTCACCATTGTGGAGCCAAACGACAACAACACCAGCTTTGATAACAGTGTTGTGGTGGAAGGAACATCCATCCACATATACAGTCGTCATGTCTTTACAAACATTTTCATCAAAGTATTGATGATGTGGGTCTTCAACGGCAGTGGCATGTTCGACAGGTGTCTGTACCAAAGGCCCATCCTGAGTGCACTTCTTGGCAGGCTGCCAAGTCTGTGCCCAGAGTGGTTCTCTTGCTTTGAGCATAGCAAACTTCTATGTCAAAGCTCTGCAAGGCCATAAGCCATGAAGCCACGTGTGCATTTGTCACCACACCATCTCTGATATGTTGGCTGTTAAGAAAAGTTACTGGTTGGTGTTGTGTTTCCATAATAGTCTTTCGTCCACCTAGGTAGTTAGAGAAATATTTCACTGCCCACACAGTGGCTAACAGTGCTTTCTCATAGTCAGAGTAT